TAAATGTAAATCTATTATATACCTAAAATGTACCAATAAAAGAATTAAAAAAAAAAAAAGAATAAAGTTCAAGTGTAATAATTATTAGAATAAACCATTAAGAACGTAGTCAACAGGTACTCTACTTCTTATTCACTTATTTCTTTCTTTGTTTTTGGTACCTTGTGCTTGCGAGGCAGGCCGTGGAAGCACTGAGCTAAATCCCTGGCCCTTATTCATTTATTTCTAATATCCTAAAATTACAACTTTTAGGGAAAGGAACTCCACTGTCCTCTCCTCTAGACAGGACTGGATACAGCTTCACTGGCGTTGTCCTCCTGCTGCCTCCCTTGTCTAATTAAGTTACCACAAAGCACCTAGAGAGAGGATGTCCCTGCTCCAGCTTCAGGGGTTGGTGTGTTAACAGTGCTACAGGTGTTCATCTTGCCTGGCCATGACACTGCACATGTCTATGACAGAACAAGGTGACCACCTTCACTGTCTCCACCCCTCCATGTAGGTGGGCCTGGCTACCCCTAGGGAGCCCCTGTGGTCAGGACGCTGATGTTCTGGCCGTGAGCAGGGTACAGGTTACCTGGAATCTCCTCTCATATCCGCAGAACTTGCTGGCCAAGAAGGCGTAGAAAGGGTTGTAGGTTTTCTCCTGCAGGCAGCAGTCCATGAGCACGTGGACAATCTCTCGCTCCTGCTGGTCCTTCAGCCCAAGCCTGTGCATAGGAGTAGCCAGCCCAAGTGAAATCTCTTATAGAGGCCTTAAAAGGAGGTAGTGGCAGCCACAGGCAGGGCCACAGCTGACTCTAGCTGGCCTGGCAGTGTTTTTTCCAATATGGCAAAATGTTGGAGGGCACAACATGACCCACAAATTCTATGCCAGCCACGAAAGCCTATGACTGGAGCCCATTAGCAGGACTCAACCATTTAGGACTCAACCTAAATTCAGGTTCTGGCTGAGGCATACTTATAGTGAAATACACCATTGTGGGTATGCACAAGCCACAGGGTCAGAAACCACCACTTAAATGGAAATAAAAGTTCCACTGCACCAAACCAGAGCCCCTCTGCAGCCAGAATTCCCCCAGGCTATCACCAGTCTATCTTGTCCCTCTAGCTCCAACTCTGCCAGAATGTCACACGAACAGCCATAAGGTGATCACCATGGCCCTGAGGATCCTGGTCCCTCGTCCTATAATGCACAACGCACCCCCCATCCCCCAGCTTCTTCATCCTCCACGAGTCAGGGCCATGAGGGGTGTGTGCAGTTTCTGGGGATTATAAGTAACTCTGCTATCTGTGTGTGTGTATGCTGGAGATGGAAGCCAAGGGCCTCATGCCGACGCTAAGCAAGCTCACTACCACTAAGCTACATCCCAGCCCAGCTGAAGAGCGAGATGAATAAAAATAGGAGGAAAGGCATTGTTAATAAACATCAGGTTTTGGTTTTGGTTTTTTTGAGACAGGGTCTTGCTATACAGTTCAGACTGGCCTTCTTGAACACATGGTGATCCTCCTGCCTTTGCCTCCCGGGGAACAGTGAAAGAAGGGCTTCCTGGGACACAGGCCAGGTGAATCCACACTCCCTGCAGTGCAGCTGCATGGAAGTGGGCTCATCAGGACCCAGGAGCATTGGTATATGGCCAAGTATAGACAGGCAGAGGACTTGGGGCTTCCAGCCAGCAAGATCCTAGGGCTCAGAAGAGCCCACCCTCCCTGCCCTGAATCCCAGTGCCAACTGTTTTCCTCATATTTCCTTCTCCGTCTGAAGCACATAAAAGAAAATGACATCACACTGTTTAGAAGTATTTTGTAGAGGTATGCAGGTATCTAAAAAATTTTATCACAACTAATTATAAATGTTTTCAGTATCAGAAGGAAGGCAGGCATGGGGATCCTAGCACTTGGGGAGGCCAAGGAGGAGGATCACAAGTTCAAGCTCAGCCTAGGGAACTTAGCGACTTTATTGAGAACTTCTCAAAATAAAAAGCATGAAAGGGTTGGGAGACAGCTAAGTGGGAAGGCCCAGAATTCAATCCCCAGTTCCATCAAAAAAGAGAAAGAAAAAAGTCAGAATGCTAATTTTACTATGAAGGTTTCTAGATCTCCAAGCAGCTCTAGATAACCACCACCCACTGGGATAGTACCTGGTGTCCGAGCCCTCAAATCTTGGTACACTGCTGGGGACCTACCAGGAGCTCAGCAGGGATGCACGGCCCCCCAGGGACAGAACAGGAAAAGCCCTGTTACCCAGTCATCCAAGCACACACACCAGATAACATCTAATTTTTAACAGGTGGAGATGTTCACACAAATGCCTACTTGAGCAGCTTTTCAAAGGCGTCCAGAAAATCCTCGCTGGTCATCACTGTGCAGAATATGTTCCTCCTGACATCTGTGTTCATCCTCTGCTTCCGGGCAAGCTCCAGCATCTTTGCGCTCACCTGGGGAGAGTGCAGGCCCCGCCAAGTCTGGACACCTGTTTCCAGAGGTGCACCACACTGGGCCTGGCCCTGTGAGCAGCCCCACCCCAGGGAAACAGCTCAAGAAAAGCCCAGGGGAATGGAGATTGCGCAGGACTAGCTCAGAGGTGAGGTCCAGACAAGTGGCGGCTGCTGAATATGGGGAGCCAGAGCCACCAAGGGTGACCAGGGACAAGCCAGGAGAGGCCATGAGGGGAAGAGGAGGATATCTGGGCCATGTGTGGGCGTCAGCTAATGGGGTGGAACCCAACTAATGGACTGGGCAACAACACACATCTCGTCTCATGAATGGGCATCTGGGAGGTGAGCATTTGACTTCCACTCCACTCCAAGAACTTTGTACTATGTGTTTTGGGACCTTCAATAATTCTTTAAGGTGCCAGGCATGGTGGTGCATGCCTGTAATCCCAGCACTCCAGAGGTAGAGGCAGGAGGATTGGTGCATGATGGAGGCCAGCCTGGGCTACACAGTGCGTTCAAGGCCAGCCTGGAATACAAAGCAAGACCCTGTCTCAAAAACAAACAAACAAAAGAATTCTTTAAGGAGAAACACCAAAAGCTGAATAAATAGTACCTTTTTGTTATGTTTTAAGATGGGGCCTCAGTGTATCACCCAGGTGGCCTTGAACTCCTGTGCTTAGGTGAACTCCTGTGCCTCTCCCCCAGAGTAGCTTGGACTGCACGTAGGCACTCCTGCACCTGCTTTAAATTGGGTCTTCCTCAGCACCAGCCATTTCCACAAAGCCTTTCATATCTGTACCCACGCAGGAGCGATCTAGAGCTCCTCCAGTGAGAGCTGGACATAGACGAGGCAGCCCGAGCCTTACCGTCCCTGCAAGTGGCTTCTGTGGGGCTGCATGACGACTGTTGTCGATCATTGGGGCCCCGCTCCATGCAGACCCCACGATCCACCAACGACCGGTCTGCTCAGCCTTCAAGATGCCATCCCAGGAGATTCGGAGCTGAGTCTCGGAGCCAGAGCCAGCGCTGCGCACCTGGTGAGGAAAAGCCCAGGTGAGAACTTCCTCAGCCACATTCTGTGTGCTCCCTGTAAGCCCCAGTGTTGATGGCAGCACTTCTCTGGTATATGAGAATGTCGAGGTCCATGGGACTGCTGGCTGGCCTGCCTGGGACAATGCTAGAACAAGCAGGAAGACCCCCGCATTTTGTCCATGTGAGGGACAAACCCATGTCCATGGAAAGTTGTCATGAAAGAACCTGACATCCACCATGGTCTTGGTGATAGGAGCCTGGCTCTGCCAGAGCTGACGCCATAAGACAAAGGCTCAATGAGGCCCACCCACTGCTCTCCTGGGCCCAGGTGGGGCCTGGCTGCTCAGGGAGCCTCCAGGGGACCTAATGCACCACCTGTGTCCAACAACCCATACCATGCTACGGCGCAGGTGGGTGGCCAGAGCCACACCTCACCAAGGAAAACCCACAGCTCCCACCTCAGACTCCTGGACTTGGGTCGTGGCCCCGCCCTGCTGATACTGCTGTTCCCTCATTTTCTCAGTGGGCCCATGTGACCCAGAGGCTTGAGACAGACCAGAGTGGACAAACACTGACCAGTGCCCTCTGCAGCTTCCTCAGCCTCTCCACTGGCTCAGGGTCATAGCCTGGGATCTTGCGCATGTCGTTGTTCTTTAATGCCAGCATTGTCTCCAACATAAACCGAATCTTTAAAGAAAACAAGGAAAAATAAAACCCAGTCATCCCAAGTCATCTACACAGCTGATAACTCAACTTGTAGACGTCCAGGTTTTGATTTTACTATTTCAAAAGCAGAGTTCAGTGTCTTTCCAGATCTCCACAGTCCCTACATGCCCTCCTGTCTACCTGAAGGGGCACTGGCCCTCCCCTTCCCTCAGCCTGCTTCCCACTAAGCCGGGTCACTTTGGACTCCTGCAACACTCCTCCCTCCTCAGTCCACACTGCAGCAGAAAGGTCACAAAAAGGGAGCATCCACAGGTTGAGCACTGGGTAGGGCCTCCAGGTGCTCAGGATAATCCCCTGCCCCAGCCCGAGTGTGCCCCCACCCCCAACAAGCTGCATCCCTGCTTCCGTTGGGGCCCCTCGGGTAGGTCCACACCTCTTATCCTCAGAAAAGCAAACAAGGTCAAAGGTGAGAGGCCCTGTTTTATAGGTGGAGAAACTGAGGCTGGCAAGATGCAGGCTCTGCTGCTGTCCAGGAGCAGAGCCACACATCCAGGCAAAGCCAGAAGTTGACACCCAGGTAGGGCCCGGGGCCTTCACAGTAGCATTTTTCTGAATGAGTAAATGTTAAGGGGGCTGACTTTTAAATTCATAAAATATTGCTGGGCGTGGTGGTGCACGCCTGTAATCCCAGCACTTGGGAGGCTGAGACAGGAGGATTGCCACAAGTTTGAGTTTCAGTCCAGCCGGGACTACACAGTGAGTTCAAGACCAGCCTAGACTACACAAGACCCTGTCTCAAAAAAACCTAAGAAGAAATAAATAAAAACTCACAGAATATTGACCTGGGTTGTTAGTAAATAAACAAGGTGAGCTCCCAGATTAAAGATGAACTACAGCTAGGGGTGGTGGCACACACTCACTCGTAATCCCAGCTCTTCTGGAGGCAAGAGTTGGGGGGGTCAAAGCTCAAGCACAGCCTGGGCCACACAGCAAGACTCTGTCTCAAAATAAAATACAGAGGGCTGGGGATGTAGCTCAGCACTGCCTAGGTTCAATCCCTGTCCCAACACCACAGAAAAAGATAGGACCAGAGAAGCAGCTAAGGCCGGGTATGGCTAAGGAGACCCGGAATCGTGAGGAAATGAAGAGTAACATTTACCCTACACACTTAGTTTTTTTAAGCTCTGGCAAGTCTGTGTCAAGTGACCCTCGTACCCTGGTCTGGTCCTGAAACTTGCTGCCTGTGGTGCTGGCTTTGGCCTGGGCCTCGGCGATCAACTCCTTAAGTGATAAAGCATTGTCTTTTCTCAGCGAGAAGCCCACGTTCTTCAGCATCAACAGAATCAGCTCGATGTCTTTTTCCGTGAAAGTTCCTATCAGTTTCCTCAAAATGTCAAAGACAAGGAGCGACTGGACCACGTGGAAGTTGTACAAGTGGGCGACGATGGTGACCAGGTTGTCGCACTCCTTCCCCTCGCCTCCCTTTCCGTAGGCATCATCAAACCTCCTCACCACGCCTTCCAGGAAGCACGCGCCAACCTGGACGGGCAACAGAGGTGCATCATCACACTGTCACTGGGACTTCTGCTTCAAACCGAGCGCTTCTAAACTAACAAGAAACCTGTACATGCACGCGAGGCAGGATATGCACTAGATGGGGCAGGACAGCCACTCCTAGGAGGCACAGCCTGCAGCGACTCCAGTATGATTTCCAGGGATTACAGATGATGACAAAACACTACAGGGTAAGCAACAACATGGATGACTTCCTTGGTGCTCAAACCTACACTGTAAGGACACCCTCTGGGCTCTGAGCTCAAGAACAAAGTGGTATTTTTTTGGCCAGCAGCCACGGTGCTTGCTTAGAAAAATAAACTTAAAAAACCCCCACAAATGTAAAAAATGTTGTCAAAGACTACCCATATCTCTAAAATGCTCTCTACCCAATACCACTCATTTTTCAGAAGCCTTTTCCCGAGTTTTCCTCTAAGTTAGTTTCTTACGAGGAAGTGATACAAGTGACATCCAAAGTTCAAAAATGACAACACATCCTCAAGCGGCATCCCAGGCTCCAAAGAGGCAGGTACTTCATCCCTGAGCTCACATGGGTGGCACGTGAGCTCTCAACTTCACACAGGGGGTCCGTACCCCGTCACACATGTGCCCCTCAGGAGACCAGCAGGTTAAGCCAGGATGCGGCTGAGGGCCCAGGACCGGGCCAGGACCAGGACCTAGAATGGGCCTCGGGGAGCCAGGCAAGGTCACCGGGGTGTCATCTTGGTCCTGCTCTGGCACATCCTGTTCCACTTGCCCACATGTGTACTGGGGCAGGATCTTCCGAAGCAGGCGGTCCTGGGCAGGTTCACAACCATCTCTTTTTCCTCTGCAAAACAGAGCTGATGAAAGCCAAAAGCTGAAATGGTGGGCCAGAGATTTGGCTCAGTGTACCGACAATTAAAAAAAAAGAGAGAAATGGTAATTATCAGTTCTTTTAGGGTACCGGGGATCGAACTTGGGTCCTTGCACTTGCAAGGCAGGCGGCGGAACCGCTGAGCTCCATCCCGGCCCACTCGGTAATCGTCAGTTCTGCGGGTGTAACAGTCCCGTCACCATTTTCTCTTCAACCTCAGCTCAAACTGAGGCTAGAGGGAGGAGACGACAAGAGGGACACCGGTGACACGAAGCGACACCGACAGTCCTGCCAGGAGACAACAGCTTGAATAAGCAGCGAGGGTGGACTGGGCACGAAGCGCCTGGGCAGCAGCGCGAGCCCAGCAGACTGGCGGGCGTGGCCTGCTGCTGGACATGACAGAGAAGTGGCCCTGCTTCCCAGGTGTCTGGTGGTCTGGGCAACCCGAAAATACCCAAGGCGAAGCAGGAGAGGGGCTGGATAAAACGTGCTGAACTCTTACTGGGCCAAGGGGCATCAGGCAACTTGCATGAACAATGGAGAGCGCTCCAGGAGGGTGAGCTCTGCCAGGCAGGCTGGGGCATGACAGGGACTGGCACTCAGCATTTAGGGTTGCAAAAATTAACAGCGGGAGGATTTAGAAAAAGGCCACAGATCAGCAGAGGCAGCTGACTTCCGGGAAGCCCGCTCCCATACGCTGGACATACTCTCTTTATTATTTATAGGCCAAATAAACTCAACTTATAAATTCCCAATTCAAGCCCCTTCACTAAATATAAACCTGAAGACTCTAACTCCTAGTATGACTATCTTAGCAAGGAAATTTCAGGCACAACACACACACACACACACACTCTCACCCTTTTAGGGGTGCTGAAGGTTGAACCCAGGACCAAAGTGCTCTATCACTGAGCTATGTCCTTAACTTACAGGGATTCCCCCTACACAAGGCATTTTCAACACACAGAATTATTTATGGCAAAATGTTAAAATCTATGTTTCCAAATTACACATTACAGTATACTAAAAATATGAAAATTCAATTGCTAAAACTACTTAAACATGTACATTAATTGAAGTAAGAACGCTAACATAAATTTGCACAGATACATTTAGTGACTTGTAGAACCAATCCAGCAGTTGCTACTGTGGCTGTTAGCACATTTTTCCTCTGTGAATTCCTGTAAGGGTATTTTTCTCAGTACAGCACTGAAACAAGTTTAATGGAACAGGCATCCTGAGAGCTCATCACACCTGGCAGAAGTTTTAGTGAATGCCATTAGCTAATGACTTCCCCTCAGAACAAGTCATCTCATTGTCCTTTGTGCTATTAGCAAAGGTCTAAATGAGAAGTAGGACCAATAATCTCATGTTTTCAAATCAAGTAAATTCCTGATGTGCTGCAGACAGAGTCTATGACTTTTCCATAATTCATTAAAATACTGTCTATACTAAAATCATGTTCATTAAGTCACTTAAGTGTGATCTAAGAGGATGGGGAAGTACTAAGCTGGTCACATGCAGCACTGAATTACAGCAATCATGGGCACCAGGAAATCTGTCCAGGGTTCCATTATGCTCGGTAATGGCCAGAAAATGGACTTGTGTTCATGTGGGAAAACCAGTATGGATATCTGAATTTAAAAAGAAAAATCACTCCAAAAGAGCGAGTCCCATGGTGGCTGGTGCATTTTCCACCAGAGATCAGGAGGTACTGAGCAGTCCTGTGCCCAGAAACCATGGGTCTAGACCGCCTTCCTCCTGCCCGGTTTCCTGTGTCTGCAAGTCTTATAGCCTCTCATCTTTCCAAACATTACCATGATGAGACCACTGCTACATAACAAAAACGGGGTTCAGAGGACTAGAACAGCAGCTAAACCTGCAGTGGAGGGAAAAGCTGGCCAGGGAAGGGGAGGAAGAGCAGAAACTCAGCAGGAGCATCTCCTTCCCTATGAGAAGCAGGTGAACATCTAAGTGACAGGGCAGACTGTGGGCTGGCCCCTTCCCTATACCTGTCACAGGTGCTAAGTGACACTCTTGAACCCTGAGATGTGCCAGTACCTCGATTCCGACTGTGTGGTGGAGAATGCTGACCAGGAGGATGTGCTCCATCATTAGCCGGCTGGGCATGGCTGAGGAGGTGACACAGGCATCCATGAGGGTGGCAGTCAGCATATCGCTCATGTCCTTCCTGCTGTGGGCCATGTACAGCTCCTCCAGCTGCCCACTTATAAACGCCATGTTGGGCTCACTCAGCCTGCAGAGGGATGTGAACATGGACAGCAACAGTGCTTCACACTAGGGACCATTTTCTAGTTCAACTAAAAACTGAGAACTTACCAATACCATCAATATACCCTACTTTATGTACTTCTGGCCCAGGAAAAACTCTTATCTTGCCACAATAACTCAGTGTACAGTGGCCATCACCACTTAATACTCTGCAATTCCGAAATAACTGTCTTTAGCTGACATGCAGCCAGTGAAGCGCACTCTGGATTCTCAGTAAGTCTGCAAGAACTTACATGAGGGCACCCTCCAGGTTCCCTGATCTGCTATCCCAAGATAAGGGCCATCCTTAGGTAGTGTTGCTAGGAAAAATGCTAACTTCCCCATTTCTTAAGTGGCACAAACATCCTGGCTTCCTACACTGAGCACACCTTCAGGGGAGGATGAGCAGACTGTTTGAGAAAGATGACCCACAGTGTACCCATGCTTATACTGAACTGACCCTCTAAACAGCACACCACTATGTGATAAAATTCCAGCATATTCCACAAAAAGTCTGTTTAGGTTTTAATTATAAAGAAGTATAAAACAACACAAGGGTAAAGAGGGGTGAGTGAAACATAAAGGGATGGCACAAGAGCCTGGTGGGGATGGAAGAGTTCTACACAAATCTTTGTGATAAAATTGCACAGAATTTTATACACACACACACACACAGACCAAAATCAGAACAAGTTCTGGGGGTTGTGTGTCATCTCCCCACTGTTTTTAATTGTATCCTAGCCACAGAAGATGTTACTAACTGGGGGAACCAGGTGGTGACATGCAGGTCTTCGGTATGAACCTGGAATTATTTCTGAATAATAAGTTAAACAACAAAAAAGCAATACATACTTGAAACTTGGGAAAACCAGGTAAGGTGCTGGAAGTCAGGGTAGAGGTCACCTTTACAGGGCTCAAGGAAGAGGCATGTGGGGATTCTGAGGGAGGGTAACAGAAGAACTGCAGAAGGGTGTTGGGGGATGAGGTCTTGTCTAAGCAGCTTCCAATCAAACTTCTGGACAATAAGAAACACAGATGTGAGTAGTGACCAGGGGGATGGAAGACCACATTCCCCACTGTTCCTGGGGTGACACAGAAGCCCTGCCCTTTCCTTCGAGCTCCTCACAGTAACCACATGAGCCCAGGGAGCTGTCTTCAGACACTGAGCAGACTCACAGTACCCAACAGCTGGGTGCTATCTCCCTCTCAAGGTATGGGTCTGGATGCATCAGAACAGGAACTTAAAGGATCCCAAAGTGCCTAGTACTGTAATTCTGGGTCAGTGTGTTTTCTGACGCACACCGCCTCTTGAAGGGGTGGAACTATGGAAGGTTACCTGTTAATGAGGCCTTTCACCTGCTTCTTCAGCCTTTCCAGTTCCACCTTCTTGCGGACATCCACTGTCTCCTGGATACACCTCACCTGAGATGGGATGTACTTTTCACTATTCTCACAAAGACTCTCCTTGAAAAGAGAGGAATAAATTGCAAATAACTGACCCTGGCCAAATCCCATTTCCCCGCCTAGCTTTATGCACATTTAAACAGTGAAATCCCAGGAACTCTCTGCTGCTCTTCTGACCACTGCTGTTTATACAGGAGGGGCATACTGGGAGCTCAGGAGGCTCCGGAAGGCCCTGTTCCTACTCCAGCCCAAACACTGCACAGTGTGTTCTGCTCCCCACTATTTTGGAGGACCTGGCACTATACCTGATGGCTTGTGTTCTCAACCTCCGAACTCTCATGTTTCAAATCTTCATCTTTTGCAAAACGGACTCTCTTCCTCCCCCTCGTCTCCCGCGCTCCGCCTTCTACTCCTCCCCCGGGTTCTGGGTCTACACTGTCGTCTGCGTCCTCCACATTTTCGACCTCATCCTCTGAGGGGTGGGCTTCCCCCTCCAAGTCCTCCTCGCTTTCGCGCTCGGAGTCAACGTCGAGGTTGCTGTCGCTATCCGGGGGTATTTCGTCTTCGCCACTCTCCTCTTCCTCTTCGTCCTCCTCCCCGCTGCTCTCGTACAGGCCGCTGCCGCCTGCTCCGGGTTCCAGGGCCCCCAAGATGTAGTCCAGCCCGTCGCGCGCGAAGCTCAGCGGCACGGAGCTGCCGTCGCCCTTCTTCCTGCGCTTGTTCAGGCCGAGGCAGCGCTCCAGCTTCCGGATCTCGCGGTCCTCCTCCTCGTTGGCCGCTAGCAGAGCCCGCTTCCGGGCGGTGGCCGAGGGTTCGGTCTTCCTTGGGCGAGCCTCGGCCTTGAGAGAGGGACCTTTAGTCCGGGTAGCCTTGGCCTTACTGTGGGCCGAGGGCGCTGAGGCCGGGGGAGCCTTAGGCTTAGCCGGGGAAGTCTTGACTTTGGCTTTGCAATGGGACGGGGCGGCCTCGGCCTCTCGGGCCCTGCTGGGCGGGCGGGCGCTCCCTTCCTCTCTAGCTGGCCCCGGTCCCCCCGCCCGCTGCAGGCGGCGCGCCTTCCGCAGCTGCCGCTTCTCCCTTCGCAGCTCCTTTCGGCTCTTCCTCCCTATCGGCCTGGAGCTCACTGCGGCGCCGCGCCCCTCAAAGCCCCCGGGAGCCTCGGCCTCGGAGGTGGCCCGCACGAACCCCTCCACGGCCAGCTTGAGCCGTTTCAGAGCTCCCTCCCCGCCGAGGCCGTCACTGCCGCGTTTCAGGCGGGTTCCACGCCTGCGGCCACGCCGTACCAACTTCAAGGACGCCACCATCTTTGGGGAAGCGCTGGCGCTCGACTTCCGGGTGGGGCGGGACTTCCGGACGAGCACGATGGCTAGGTAGCGCTGGGCGAGCGGCACCCCCTGCTGGCCGGAGGGCGACAGTAGCGGACACAGGTAACAGGTTCCTTGAAAAAAGGAGCCCCTTGCAGACCTAGGTGGAGACCAGTCCGGGAAGGCGTGCGCCTCCAGACATATGTGCACCGGCGTGCACGCATGTGTGCCTGCAGGGAAGCACCTGCTGCTGTTGAAGCTTTGTCTCCTTGTTTGTTAGAAGCAGCAACGCTGCCGTCTACCTGGGCCTCCCGCGTGTGCCCAATCTAGATAGTGTGGTTTCAGTGTGGGCAGGCTGAATCAAGGGTCCTTAGTCCAGTCATGGGCGTGGAGGTGAGGTGCAGTGTCCACCAGCCGAGAAAGCAAGGTGAGAGGCAGGTTGCCGATTCTGTCTGGGAATCCCACAGGCCTGCCACATAATTTTGGATTTCTGGCCTCCAAACAGAGACAATAAAAATTTTTCCTCCTTTTGTTTGTCTATTTATTTATTTATTGACACAAGTTTTGTAATGTAAGACTGTGGGCCTTACCAAACGCTCCGAGGAGCTGACTACAGCGAAGATCACCCGGGAGGGAACACACCGGACAAGTTATAAAACAGACCTTTATTAGTCCGGCCAGACGGCAGTCTCCAAGCACCAAGCTTAGAGAGGTGCCCGGCTCAGAGCCTGAGGTCCTTTTATAGGAGATGCTAGAGGGAAGTTGGCAAGCAGAAATACAGAAGCGAAACGCAGAAGGAACTTTTACAGATCGTTCTTAAGATAACATATTCAGATATGGAGTTGGGCAAGCATGACGGAACACTACGCACACAACAGATCTTCCTGGCACAACAACAAGAACATCCCTGGAACTCTATGTCTACCTGGTGATCCATAACAGAAGCAGACAAGTAGGGGCCCGATTACAAAATGGAGTACAAAATGGAGTAACTGTTGTTCAGTCTCACAGTAATGGATTCCAGGCTGGCCTTGAACTCGAGGCAGTTCTCCTGCCTCAGGCTCCCAAATGCTGGGAATACAGATATGTGCCACCATGCCTCCTTCTCTTTTCTTTGCTTTTTCCCCACTCCCTTCCCTAGGCCACCTGGAGTGCTTTAGCCACTCCATTTATGGTCCTTTGTTATGGGACAGTTTGTACTAGGACATGAATGCAGCTCACATCTGATTTGTTTCCTGGTTTCTTTGCCTAATTTCCAGCCTGTCCAGGTCTGTTTCCCCCAAGGCTGCTCTATAGATTCTCAGAAGGCCTCTATGAACTTCCAACTCTCCACAGACTCTAGTCTTGATATTTTAAAGATGTTTTGGTGTTTGCCAACTTGTCTGCTCTGACTTGTAACTCATTATTTTAATTCCTCTTGAAAGCATCGTTTCAGATATCCAATGACAATTTGTGTTTCTTTTTGTTTCTGGCTGTGGTCATGTTCCTTGTGAAATTTTAAATAAAGTTTTAATAGGAAATGTGCTGTATGCATTGAATACAGAATGCAAAGGTAGCAAAGAGATGTAATGAAAGAGCCAGGCGGTCCCATCCGGGTGGCCATGTGCCCCGTTCCCTTTGGGGAGCAGCAACATTATATCCTCAGTGATCTCCAGACTCCAGGGTATTCTTCCCTGTTTTATCATAAACGTTGTTCCACATCTTGGAGTTTTTGTTTTCTGTGTGTTTTACTCAATGACATGTTGTAGGGACCGCCCTAGCACAGAGGGGCTGCTGGCGAGCTTTCCTGCCCTGTCATCTGGGTCAACCCGGAGTCCTCAGTCAACACAGCAGCCACAGTGATCAGTGGCATGGCTCGTGGCCAGCTCAGGGATCAGAGGTGCTCCTGGCTCTGCTGCCCTTGCTGCCTCGCCTTTCTCACACTGTCCACGCTCCTCTCTTCTGAGTTCCCTGGATTTCTGACCTCAGTCTTTGTCCTCTGTGTGAATAATACTGCCATGCTGTATAGGATGACACCAACCCCTGGTCCTCTGGACCCTGTCTCTGGCCAGTACCACCTGCTCTGTCAGTGTACACCACTGCAAGACAAGCTGCACCAGAGCTTGGGCTTCTCTACTGGATTTGATATAGACAGTACAATTAGGATGTACAGAACCACTCCCCTCCACTCGCCAGAGCCTGGGGATTGCCCCAGCACCAACCTCTCTGATTTTGTCCTAAGGCCCACTACCTACAGGCAGAGATAAGAATAAAAAAGACCCCTGGAAGAAAAAAAAAATGTATATGAGCCTGCTGTTGTCATACAGGTAGGTTTTCAAGCTAGGAATATACTTTCTTTAATAGGTGCTATTCAAATTTTATATTTCCTCCAGAGTTAGCTTCATTAATTTGTTTTCTAAGTTACTTCTTAGAAGTTGTCAAATTTATTTCAAAAAAGATTTTTGTAATATGCTTTCTATATCCTTTTAAATTCTGTAAAATCTGTGGTCATGTCTCCTAGCTCTTAATATTGTAATTTTTAAAATGTATAACTGATATTGTGTAACAGGAAGAAAAGGTCTAAAAGAGCAGGGGAATTGGGAGGAATAGGGGAAGGGAAAAAAGGGAAAGGAAAAAAATATGAGAAGAGAAAAAAAATGGAAACAAGGTCTTTGCAAATAGGGAAGGGTGGAGGGGGTGAAGGGAGGGCAAGGGAAGGGGAAAAAATAAGAACCAAGAGACTCATGTAAAGGTACAAGATCCCAATGATGAATGTAACTGTATTTTATACCGAAAATGTACCAATAAACTTAATGGGGGAAAAAAAAGACCCCCCGGAAATTTCAAATTCCAGACCAGGATGCATTGGTGCCAGACCTGCCAGCATGACCTGCAATAACCTTCCTTCACCTGGAGCTCATTGCATGTCGACTGTGTCTCATGATGCATCCAATTAGAACAGAGGATTATGGGGAAGGACATGCACAGTAGACTGGGTACCTTGTCAATCATGCTGTGAAAGACCCATGGGAGTTGCCCTCCATCCAGCACGTTTTAAATTCTTAAACCCAAAATGCTGGTGTGAGCTCAGAGCATACTGCCATCTGATTAAACTTTGGTGCTATTTCCTTACCGTTGCCTACCACTTCTTTTTTTTTTTGGTACCGGGGATCGAACACCGGTCCTTGCACTTGCGAGGCAGGTGGCAGAACCACTGAGCTAAATCCCCAGCCCTGCCTGCCACTTCTAATTCTTTGTTTGTCGTGCACATGACTCTAGAAACCCTCGGGACCCATCGCTCGTGGTAACACAAGACTAGTATGCGGCCCTGTCTTTAGGGCTGACCTTGGGGTCGGGTGAGAACTGAGTTAGCACATGCAGAGAGCACAGACCCAGCTGATTTGTGGGCAATCAGTGTTTAATGAGTGATATCCTTGGCTGCTGTTGTCAATATTGGTTATCAGTTACAGCACTGGTCCCGTTTGGACGTGTGTGGGAATGAGAAGATGGAAGAAGAAGATGGGAAGGGGAAGTCTCTGTGTCTGTGCTGTAGGAAGTGAAGTGCTGTGGATTCTGGAGGACAGAGGAGCCACTGTCCTGTCTGGGTTGAGTACATACTTTGGAGGTTGAGTCTGAGCCATCTCTGTGACAGACTCGGGGGAGAGGGGCTCTGACTCCCCAAACCCCTCATCCTTTAGGCATTGCGTGCCATTCCAGGAGGGGCATCAGTCCCTACAGGACTTGCCAGGCCCTGGGCCACCCCTGTCCCCTAGTGCCCTGCTGCCCCTTGCCCACCTTGGCCCTGGGCTGTGGACTGTCTGCAGAAGCAGCCTGGGGTGAATGTGAAGGCTGGAGGGAGAGTGGAGGCCGGAGCCAGGTGGCCTATCCCCACCCAAACCCCAGGCCAAGGCCTCAGGCTGGGGGGGGGGGCGGCATTGCTATTGTTGAAGCAAAAGCGCTGACGTCCACAACTTAAGGGAATTGAGGTTTCTTTGGCTCATGTTTTCAGTGGGTTCAGTCCCTGCCAGCCGCTATGTTATGGCTTATGACTAGATGTCCCCCGAAAGCCTCATGCAGCCATAGGTGGGGGTTTTTCAGAGGTGGCTGGATCTAGGGTGTGTGACTGACCCATGGTACAATGCTAGGATTGAGGGTGCTATAATTAAGGGGATGAGTGCTACCTGCCCTAAGTGAGGGTAGGCTGGATACAATATAAGGAACAGAAAGAGGCTTGCTGTTAGTTACTTGTTGCTTGCTGCTTTTGCTGTCTTCTGCCTGCCATGGACTGTTTCTCCTCTTTGATACCCCTCTGCCATGCCACCCTGCCTTGGAGCCAGCTGACTATCAACTAAAACATCTATGATAAAAAATAAAATAAAAAAATAAAACATCTATGATCTGTGAGCAGAATAAATCTTTCCTCCCTTAACTTGTAGGTGTTGAGCATTTTGTCTCAGCAATGAGAGAAAAATAACTAAGACTCGGCAGAAACAGCATGGTAGGAGGGTGCAGTGACCAGGCAGCGGACCCCAGGTGAAGCAGCCCCCGGGGACCCCCTCTACTTGGGCCTCCCCAACAGCACATTCAGCTGTGTCATTGCTCCATGATCCAGTCACTTCTCCAGTTGTCTCTTAACCCAGATGAGGTGACAAGATGAACTGCCACACTCTGGCCCCCTACATCCCCAGAGCCCATGTCTCTTTTCACCCAATAACTTCTCTGCACAAACCGGGGAGAAGGGGCCAGCAACTCTTGTCACCACCTCATTCAACAAGAACCAGTGAGTGAAGGGCACCCACCATGCATAGCACTTAGACCTGGGTCTGGCCCACAGTCCCTGCTTGGTTATTGCTGTGATCTGCTGGAGCCTACAGACCTTCACACTTTCCATCTGCTTGCATCCTCTGAGGCCTGGCCAGCCAGCAGCAGCTGGATCTCTGTGCAGATGTGGCTCCTGGTATGGAGGCATCTGTGCTGTGAAGCCGGAACTTCTCAGACTTGTTGGGGAGCTATCATGTGAGGGAGGCCTGTGGAGTGGTTTTGCTTCCTCTGCCTTGGAGACCTCTCCATCCCCAACCCAGAAATGGTGCAGCTATGGGGTTCAGTTGTTGGGATGGTCTCAGGGAAAAGGAATATTATTTCCACAGTCCTGACTGAAGGGGCTTGGGTAGGAGGCAGGGGTCTTTGTCCCATAGTTGGCAGGATGAGGAATGCAAACCTAGAGCAGCGCTGTGGTGAATGTCTGGGTGCCTAGGTGGCCAGAGTGCTGGGGTGAGGGGCATGTGCAAGACTC